CGTGGCAAATACGTCTGGCCGATGATATAAATAGATGGCAAATATAATTACTCTGTGGATATTTTTGTGGATAACAATGGGCAATAAATCGCTGTGGCGCCACGTTGGAAGCGGTAATCATGGCGGGCAATATGGCTACATGTAAGCATTCGTTGCGTTCCTTTTCCCTTAGATTTGCTGATAAGGAGGAGCATGGGAAGCAATTGTAACTAGCAGCTGCCACGCGATTCTACAAGCAGCAAGTGGTGACTATTTTTACCCTCAAAATAGAGTTGTAGGTATCCTCCTTAAGAGCATGGTGAAAATTTAACTAGGTTTCAGCAGTTATAGTATCGCTGTCAGCATGAAGAAATTATTTTGTCCTACCATCAAACGCTTTCAATGTCCCGTTGTTGAGCCACGTGAAGTAAGCATCGTTGGAAGCCTGTGTTCTGTGGTATTCCGGCAAAAATGGAGAGAATTAAACGAGGCCTGAGAGAGATATGGTTGGCCATGTTCCCCGTTTACTTGCGCATACTCATTTTAGCCTCCGTCCACATGAAAGAAGCGTTTGCAAAGACATGAACATGCAGTGACCTTGTTGCGATTCTTTCTTTAGTACAAACGCAAGAACCGAATAGCACGTTGACGTTCTGGGAGCTCTTCGCGCTTATTGGAATACGAAACGGGAAGCTGGTTGAGCTAAAGCGTATTTTGTCCCTGGATCCTCTGTCCTGAACCTTTGAAGTTTCTAAAGCCTTGGATGGTTACTCGTCTTTTGATCACTGGACGTTAACTAGCTACTCGCCGCTTGCGCGCCATTAGTTATTTGCAAAAGGCGCATTTACTTTGACTTATTGTGAGTTGAGCAGTTCGGTGGAACTATTTGCGTGCCCTTGGTTTCTTGGTTGTTTTGTCTGGTGTTTCGCAAAGAACCTGTCGTCACATGCTTGGAGTTCACGTTGACTTGGTTTCGCCCGTTAAGATTTGGTGAGTCTACTGCACTACATACGTAGACACTTTGTATTTCCGACTGGTCCTTTCGTCGAGTGCATACCTGGTCACTGTAAACCGGTTCACAACTGTTGCTTATCTGTCACATTTCTTTTCTTTTCTACCTCCCTGGTGAATGGTGGAGTTGTAGTCCCAACTCTTAGTGTTTCTTCCAAAACGCTGTTTGTTATATATGGCAAAGCTGATTATCTCAAAGCGGATCCAGAGTTGACCGGGGGCCTGCAATGCTGTATTTGTTGCCGTTGGTTCCTAGTGGACTGTAATTGTTTGCACCTGATGCAGTATACACTTATGGCTAGTCGCGAGAGCATCCCGCACAGTTGTGTGTGGCCTGCTGCGCCAGTAACTGGCTGTCCAGGTCTCTGGAATGCCTGGTGTCTGCTGTGTTCGCTGGATGGGTAACTTGGTTGCTTTGTTAAGTTTCATGACTGCTTCGGTCTCCGTCAGGGGCAGTGGAAGAACGTTTTGCCGCACTCGGCGACTACTCTCAGTACAAAGTTTAGTATCAACACTGTTGGAAACAAAACCTCAGATACCGTGCTTGATTTGTCTGTTTTCCAGGAGACACTCGTGCTTCTGCACTTGTCAACGTAAAGGGGAAGAGTGTTAAAAAGTGACAAAACCAAGGCGGATGTACCATGTCCGCCGGGTGCCGTATCCCCATTCCCCTTCATTTCTACTGCAGCTGTCATCCAAGGTAGATTCTTTTACGACGTTGGAGGCTAACCAATCGGACGCTAATCCGAACCCGCAACGTCAGCAGAGCGTTTGCTAAGTACTCCGCGTTGCTGAAACTCGTATACTAATTGTAGTGTTATTTTCAGTAGCGCCGATGTCATGCTGTTTTTCTAAAGGAGCATCGGCTATATGATCTTCATTTCTTTAAGATATCCGTTAACAAACTTTATTGCTGGGCTTTTCCGGCGTCACGGTGCGACAACTCACCAGAACCCGTAGCTTCTCGAATGAGAAGGTTGTTGCCTGTTGCTCGGTCCGCCTCAGAGGTACGCCGAGCTCTTCTACGCTTTGCCTTTAACCTCAATGTCACTGGTGTCATGTTGCACTTAGATCCCGCTTTGACGGAGACGTTGCAATTGCGGGTGGCTGTGCGATAATAAAGCCCGTCGTGAAGCAGGAGGAAAGTTCTCCTAGTTGTTTTAGGGTGTACTTCCTCCTTGCCAGCCCAGTTCCGATGGCGCATAATCCCGGGCTCACGATACCGAATACATACCAGTAATCTTCAAATGCTTCACATATCCTGGGAAACACTCCTTGCGACTTCAACGCCTTTGTTGCCATCTGCGGTGCGCACGTTCTTTAATTCACTGGTACACGGTAGTCTACGGATCCGCGTAGGGGCGGGCGTCCTCGCAGTATACACAGCCCAGGCGCGAATGGTGGTGTCTTGTGACAGCGAAGCGCCGTTACGGCGTACAGCTGGCGATTTAATTTTTAATTTTTACGCCCGCCGACTTCACGCAGACTGAAGTGTGATTATCGGGCTGCGCACTACTTTGGTCTGTTCGCCATGGCAATGGAGCTGAACCCTACTGCAGTGCGATGGTTTGCGTGCTTTAGAGATCCACTGAGCTATGCTGGGTGGCGCTTTTGCACCACTAATGCCAGATTGGTCAATGGTTAGGGGCCAGACAAAGTCGGCCTCCAGATTGGGGGTTGGAATGAGGCGGCTCCTTATTCTTTAAAAGGAACTCCTTGTAGCCCAACTCAGAACCCGCTGCTTTGCGGTCAGGTTTTTGAACCAAAGGCTGTTGTTGTAACCTCCAATCGTTCTCGTGTCTAGGGTTGGGCAACCTGATAGTACCATTGCACGCAATACAATGAATAAATATTCAAACAGTTTCCTGAATCGCTGGCTACCGCAGAAGATAATCAATTGTGCTCTATCTGCTGCTTTGAGCAGGGTGGATAGGGTTAGGATGCTGCTGCTCATCATACTCATCTTATTACTCCCCCTCTTACGCTCTTCACTCTTACCGTCCCGTTCCAGCTTCACTTTTATCCCCCAGTTTTCAACCCCAAACCTTGGCCCGCCCCATCTTGTTTTGATAAGCGTTTACCTTTTAGTTTCAAGTCACATGTGAACATGTAGCGTCCTTCCCGCCCTGTCGATGACCTCATGTGCAAGCAAGCGGCCAAGCCAAATTCATCGGATACCATTTAGAGCCCTTGATCAACTCTTAGACTGGCATGCCTCAAGGTACGCACATTGCTAAAGATCGGTCCACAGGCAGCACTTGCCCCAACTTTAAAGACTCTGAAGGTGTGGTAAGTGCCCAAACCGAGCAGTGTTTTAAATAACGGTTGGACAAGCACATGCTGAGCATGCCTGGAATCTGCTGTTTATGCTGCAGCTGTAACACTCCGTCAGGGAACGCACTTAGGCAACGACGTGTCATCCAGCCAGTGTACGGGAGTTGATGGAGCGAACATGGGTTTTCCCTTCCGCTCCCTACAACGCTATGAATTCCATCGAGATCTACTGCTTATCGGAGACCCGCCTGCAAGACTCGAGCT